TCTTCTGTGTCTGTGTTAATTGGTTTCCCTTTTCTTTGTTGAAGAGGGTCTGTGCAATCCTTCTGCCTAGTCCGCCATCTTGCCCCGCAGTGATTGTGTTCTTGACACTGGTCAAGGGCCACTGTGAATATTCTGCATTCTCTCTAGATAGATTGCAAGCCTGAAAGCAAAGAACTTCAGGATGGAGTAATTGAAAGATGGAAGCACAACTAGCTCCCTGAAGATGTGGAAGACCATCACCAAGGAAAGCAATCTAATCCACATCAGACTTTATGACAATGACATGTGATATATAAAATATTTTTTTGTTAAGCTACTGATATGAGAAGGAATGTAACAACAGTGTAGCCTAGTCTAATTTATCACATACTGTAGTAATGAATACATTTCGTATCTTGACCTGATCTAGTTTCAGGTGAAGAACCTGTGATTGGAAATGATGGGTGAGAAGGCTCAGTCTCTAAGGAATGAAGGTCAAGGAGTTTAATCAGAATCTTGGCTACATAACTGAATTAATTTTTTTAAAAAATAATATCCTTGCTATTTCTGACATACTTGATATTTTTGTTCTATTTCATTAAAAAAAAAAAGTTTATCAACTTCACTAAATTAATTTCACCACACCCAAATTGGTCTCTATCCACAGTGTAGAAGACTGCCTGAAACTGCCTCAGAACACTGTTCTAACAATAATTTTCAGGTGTGTCTAGTTATTTAAGGAGCACTGGTGACTAGTACCTAAAGCATTTGACTGCTAACCAGAAGGTTGGCAGTTCAAACCCACCAGCCACTACACAGAAAAAAAATGGGGCAACCTACTTCTGTAAAGATTTATCACCTCAGAAAACCAGTGGGGATCAGTATGAATTGGAATTGACTTAATGGCAGTGAGTTTGATTTTTTTTTTTTTTTGGCAGCACAGTGATTAAAACATTTGACTGCTAACCAAAGGGTTGGTGGTTTGAACTCACAAGCCACTCTGCAGGAGAAAGATGAGGCAGGTTGCTTCAGTAAAGATTTATAGCCTGGGAAACCCTATGGGCCAGTTCTACTCTCTCCAATAGGGTTGTTATGAGTCAGAGTCAACTCCATGGCAGTGAGTTTGGGTGTTTTTTTTTTTTTTTTTTTTTGTCCAATTATTTAGAAATATAATCAGAATTGTTACCATAAGTGCAATGTAAAAATGATAAAGATGGAAAATGCAAACATTTTATTTCATCTTATAAAATTATTTATTTTTGCAGTGTTTCTATATACAAAAAGCAAAATGTTTTTTAGATTTTCTGCAAAAGTAGTGGTTCTCAGACATTTAAAGAAAACACTATTCCTCTAAAAGTGTGCCTTTTTATCACATTGAAAGAACTCCATTATGAACATGTTGATATCTTCTAACTATAATAGTTTAGCTTAACTAGTAAAAATATATTGAGCATTATGCTCTTTGAAGATCTATCAGGGATCAAGTTGACAACTCAAAATTTTAGATAGGAACCTTAGGGTGCAGTGAGTTTATGTTAATGGATAAACAGCAACTCAGAAAAGGAGGATGAGAATGGTTGTACAACTTGAAGAATGTAATCAGTGTCACTGAACTGTACATGTAGAAACCGTTGAATTGGTGTGTTTTTGCTATGTATAGTTTCAACAACAACAAATACATTTTTTAAAAAAAATTAGGCTTGGTTCTGGTAATTCTTGGTGGGTCCATGTGGCCAAAATAATCTTATTTTTTTCACTACCCTCCAGTCGGTTCTGACTCCTAGCGACCCCTCCTTAGATTTCTGAGGAGGTATCTCTACAGAAGGAGATTGCCCAGTCTTCCTTACAAGGAGTGCCTGGTGGGTTTGTACCACCAGCCATCTGGTTAGCAGTCAAATACCTTAGGCACTACCCACCAGAGCTCCCCTTTCAATACCAGGATAAAGAAAACAAATCTGAAAACCTAATGCTCTATTACAGAGCCATTGTTCTCTCTTAGAGGCCTTGAAGATGAAATAACAAACCCCAGAACTGAAGTTTAACCCCACAAAGCGTAGGTAGTACTGAGGACAGCGTACCAAGCCAACAGGACCCTAGGCCGGCACAGGCGCAAAGGTCTCGCGAGAGTCTTTAGATTTCTGCGAGCTCCCGTGAGCACCAGTTCTCGTCTCCCATCCCAGTGCGCCAACAGATTATCTCCTCCCCGCCGGCTTCTTCCGCTACTGCGGGGAGGGCCGGAACTTTTTTTCATAGGAACGGGTTTACACAGCAGTGTTGCCGGCCGGCATCGAGGAAACTAGGGTGCCGTCCTCTTCCTTTCGGCGTCGCCGCCGCGGAGCGGAGCAGAGCTGGTCATAGTCAAGGAACTCGGTTACCGGGCGGGCTGGGTCTATGGTCGCTCCGCGGGCCGCTCCGTCGGCTGGTGCTTTTTTATCAGGGCAAGCTGTGTTCCATGGCAGGGAACTTTTGGCAGAGCTCCCACTAGTAAGTGATCTCCCGTCTTCCCGTCCAGGGCCAGCACTTAGGGATCTGAGGACCGGGCCTGCAACTCTCCTTGGCCTGCATCCCGGTCCCTGTCCCGAGCGGCTCCGGGTCTTCACGGGGTTCGCCAGCGGGCCGAAGCGGGTTGTGCTTTTTTGAGACGACTCTCCCTGCCTCCTGACTGGTATCGGGTGAAGGATCAGAGACCACGAATGGTGGGGGAAGGGGCTCCGTCTCCAGAGAAGGAACATTAAGGAGCTTAATTTCGAATGGTTGGATTAGCTTGGCTCGGGGTGGGGGCGGGGAGCGGGAGAGAGGGTGATGGAGCCAGGTGTGGCAAGTGTGTCTCATTTCTGGATCTTTAGGCTGGCTCTTCAAGACGGCGGTGGCACACTTTTGCCTGGGTCACTTAAGAGGATCGGCATCGTGGGGTGTTTTTTTTTGGGGGCGGCGTCATTCACCATCTGTCTTGAATGGATTTGATAATATCTTGAGGAGGAGACGGAGTCAGGCTTGTTTATGCTCACCAACTACTTCCTAATATTTTATGTCTAGATGGAGTTTTATGTTGATAGATTATACCGCAGGTGCTTTAGGGATATATCACTTTCATTATTAGCCTGTACTTTATATTTTGTTTCTGTTTTATGAGTGTGTTTTCCAGTGATTTTGAGTGCCAATTTCTTAAGCCTTTTTCATGAATAAATTTTGTTTCTGTCAGTGACCATGGAAGAGCTTGAGTAATACTGAAAATTATTTTCTCCTAAATACATTTGTTTAAGCAGGCAAAAGGATGGGTCATGGGCAAATTAAATATTGACTTTTCACTGGATAGTTAAAAGAGGAACAGTACATAAGACTAGAACTTACTGTAATTTTTAGTTTTAGGAGTATTTGTAGCTGTAATGAAAAGCAGGTTTTCCTCTTACTAGAAAGTGATTCTGTGGAGATGAAATGCTGTAGAAGCCTTACTGATGAATTTTTGTTTTGCACAGTTTTTTCACTTGTTGAAATACTTGCTTAGGCAAAGTTTAATGGAAAGCATTAGTAGTGGATAAGGCATAGTCTTAGAAACGTTGAAAGAATTTCTAAGAAGCTAGCTGTTGATAGTTAATGCACTTTTTCAACTTCCAAAAAAGAGGTCTGCCCCCTTTTGATGAGCATACTCATTGTGCTTTCACTTACTATTAGCATTATAGAAACAATTTTTTTTTTTCACTATTCAATGCAAAATTATTATAATATTAAATGTGCTTTTTTGGAATTGAGCCTGCCTCTCAGTTCAAATAGTCCTGGAAGAAAGGGCCACTTTACCTCACTTATTAACTCCTTTGAGAATCATGGAGTCCCTTATCTGCAAAAGGCAGCAAGTATGAAATCCATGACAATCCATTTGTGATAAAACAAAGATTATGAAAGGATATTGCCTTAGGTACATACCAGACATTTTGGTGAAAGAGGAAAATTGACGTGAAATAAACTGAGTTGCATAGCTTGTAAGCTGCACATTTTCACATTTTAACTTTGAAATCAGCATAGCAGTTATTAGCATGTGAAATGATGAGTTTTTCAGTTAACAGAATCTTAAATATTTGGTTTTGAAATTTATTTTTTAAAAAACATAAAATGACTCTGGAAGTGAAATTAATGTTAACTCCAGGACAGAGCAGTTATCATATATCTTAGAAAATTGAAGTAGCACAAAATACACTGATTACAGTGTGGTAAAACTAGAAGGGCATTAAATAATTGCTTGTTAACTGAATGAAGGAATGAACAAGTAACGAAATAAAAACTTCAAAAACCATCTTTAGATACTTTATTGTATGAAAGAAAAACCTGAAAGTACAGTTACATAATATCTAGAAAAGAATACAATGATACCAATATATGTCATCATTTATGGGGTACAGCCATGCTGAACTTAAGAAAATTTAAATATTGAATAACTGAGGAAGAATAAAAATATATTTTAAAATTCTACTTAATATTAAGAAGGAAGCAGTGTAACAAATCTAAGGAAAATAGACTAAAGGTACCACTTACAATAAAAGTAAAAAAATTGTCAGAAATTACAAGAGCTGTTTTTGTAGGATGGAAACCAAAATAACACCTAGATAAACTGCCAATTGAATCAAGAAGAGAGGAGATGATACAAAATTAGGAATGAGAAAGTTAAATGAACCTAACCTAGATCTACCTTTGGGACTGAACTATTTGTATAGAAATTGTCAAATGGGTAACTAATTTGCTTATGAACATTCACTGGGAAAAATAAATAACATACTGCCACTGAAAATGCTAAGATCACTAATTGTGAGATGCATCTTGATATCAGAGTCTCAGAATAAATGAGATACAGTACAAATTACTGACAGATTGAGGAGGGAGAGAAAAGTTCAGAATGTTTTCAGGACACATTTATGTTTATTGGTGAGATACTCTTAGTGTTGGAGTTTCAAGAAATGTGGGAAATAGTATCTTTCAGGGTTACTTCTAAGGAGCTCTGGTAGCACAGTCCCTAAAGCATTTGACTGCTTACTAGAAGGTTGGTCAAACCCACCAGCCACTGTACAGAAGGGAGACTGGGTAATCTACTTCTGTAAAAATTTACCACCTCTGAAACCCAGTGGGGGTCACTATGAGTCCGAATTGACTCGATGGCAGTAGATCTGGTTTTTGGTTTAGTTTGGAGTTACTTGTTACAGAGTGCTTGTACCTCTCAAAATATGGACAGCCTGTTCAGTTTCAGAATGTATTCTGCGACTTCGTTAATTAACTTTTTACAGCATGTCTTAACATCTTTACTTCTTCCAGTTTGCAGTGGATTTTGGATAAACAAGACCTTTTGAAGGAGCGCCAAAAGGACTTAAAGTTTCTCTCAGAAGAAGAATATTGGAAATTACAAATATTTTTTACAAATGGTAAAAAAAAAAATTAATTTGGTTGAAATGGTTCAGGTGGTTACCTCTGAACTAAAATTTTTGGTAATTTGTCATTAACTGTTTTTAGTTCATACATGTGTTATTTTTATAGCTTAGATTAATTTATCTTTTTAATTGATCTAAATAAAGTTTTGTGTGAACCTTAGACATCAGAGGCGTGCATGACAATTTAAAAGTGCTGATTAATCTCCCTAAGCTTTTATAATGCATTTCTAAAGTCAGATTAAGGTTGACTAAAGCATAGTACTTTGAGGAAAATGATTCTACAGATTGACATTCTATATTCTTCTTTTCTAATTTACAGTTTTGCTTGGGGAAGGAGATTTAAAGTCATAATATGCTAGCTCTGACACATGGTAGCTTTGTCACATGATCTTTCTGACCCTCAGTTTACTCTTTTACAAACCTACTTCTTAGTTGTTTTAAGGATTCATTATGGATTTTTTTTTTTTACCCTAAAATGTATATAAAGTATTAGATATAATCAGTTTGATAGGTGTCTAATATTTTTTTCTTTTCTCAAAAGATAATATGAAAAGTGTTGAAAATATTTAGAAGGTAGAAAATACCTATCATTCATCCTCTTGAATCAAAAATAATTTTTACTAGCAGCTAATTCCAATTTTTTTGTTTATGCATACCCATATATTTTTTAAAGGTCCCTGGGTGGCACAAATGTTTGGCACTCATCTACTAAATTAAAGGTTAGTGGGTCAGACCCAGCCAGTAGCACTACAGAAGAAAGGTCTGGTGGTCTGCTTCATAAAGATTATAGCCAAGAGAACCTTATGAAGCAATTCTACTTTGTAACATATAGGGTTACCATGAGTTGGAATTGACTTGACAGCAATGGATTATATATTTTAAAACAAATTTACAAATCCTGTTGCTGGACCAGTGTAATCCAAGTAGAGCTTTGTATCATGTAGGTTTTCCTTTTGTTTGGAAGTTATTATTTAATGCTAAGATTATTATAATGATTACAGAAGAAATACTTAAAATATTATTTTCCTTTTAGTTATCCAAGCATTAGGTGAACATCTTAAATTAAGACAACAAGTTATTGCAACTGCTACCGTCTATTTCAAGAGATTCTATGCCAGGTAAGGCTCTTTTACTCTGGGCATGTGTTACGTCTACTTTAAATTCTATTCCAATGTTGATGAACCATGTATAAATGAATCAAGTGTTTTCAAAGAGCTATCTTTACTTTCTTCAATATGTTTTCTATATGAATGACATTTAACTTTGTTTTATAATATTTTAGGTATTCTCTGAAAAGTATAGATCCTGTATTAATGGCTCCTACGTGTGTGTTTTTGGCATCCAAAGTAGAGGTATAAAATAATTTTCTGTTCTTCATCAAAATATAATCAATATGTGTTGTCTAATCTGCCCCAGTTTTCACATTACCTGTGGTAAAAATAATAATAGATGATGACATATGCAAAATATTGAAATTAATACAAAATAAAAGAAACGTCTTTCTTTTATATATTCATTTAGTACTTATATAGCACTTAATATGTACCAAGTGCTTTCTTAGTCCTTTCATAAATATTAACTAACTTAATCCTCATAACATAGTGTAGGATATATAGTAATAGTACTTCTATTTTGCATATGAGCACAGAGAGGCACAGAGGTTAAGAAACTTGACCAAGATCATACAGATATGATGGCAGAGCCAGTATTTGAACTCTGGCAGTCTGGCTCCTGATTTGATGCTGTTAATTGCTTTGCTCTTCTGCTCCTAAGACCCTTACTGTTTGGTAAATAGTATTCAATAAGTATTGCTGTAGGAGCTCTGGTAGCATATTGCCTAAGGCACTTGACTGCTAACCAGAAGGCTGGCGGTTCAAACCCACCAGCCACTCCTCGGAAGGAAGGTTGGGCAATCCTACTTCTGTAGTGATACTGCCTTGGAAACTCAAGGAGGGGTCGCTATGAGTCGGGGGCAACTCGATGGCAAATAACAACAGTAACAACAACAAGTATTGCTGTAGGGAGCTCTGCTGTTGGAGTGGTTAAAGCATTGGGCTGCTAACTAAAAACTCACTGGTTTGAACCATCAACTGCTCCACAGGAGGAAGAAACAGTATGCTTCTGTAAAGATTTACAGCCTTGAAAATCCTATGGAGCAGTTCTGCTCTGTCCTATGGGGTCGCTATGAATTGGATCTACTCAATGGTAGTTGTTGGCAGTGGGAAGTGCCACCACTTCTTTATTTTAACCTGAGGATATCCTCCTCCCCTCTATACTTGTTATTTTCTATCTTGCCTTCTGATGATTGTCTACCTTCAAAGCCATAGGAAAAGCAAAGAGGCAGGTGAGGATTAGGGGGTGGCTATAGCTATATAGAAAGAGCCCTGATGGCACAGTGGTTAAGAGCTCGGCTGCTAACCAAAAAGTCAACGGTTCAAACCCCCAAGCCATTCTGCTGGAGATGTAGCAGTCTGCTTCCATAAGATCACAGACTTCGAAACTCTGTGGGGCAGTTCTATTCTGTCCTATAGGGTTTCTATGAGTTGGAATCAACTTGTCAGCAATGAGGTTTTTTAGGCTTGTGGCTATATAGAGGAGCCCTGGTGGCTCAGTGGTTAAGTGCTGGGCCGCTGATACAAGTTCAGTGGTTTGAACCCATCAGCTGCTATATGGAAGAAAAATGTGATGGTCCGCTTTTGTAAAGATTACAGCATTGGAAACTATGGGACAGTTCTATTCTTTGTGGGGTCACTGTGAATCAAAATCGACTGGACAGCAACAGGTTTTATGGCTGTATAGATTCTATTAAGGAGAAGTTTGGCTTCTGAGGGTAGAGAAATTAGATAAGAAGAGGGATGGGAGCTTGTAGTTGAGACTAAATATATGCTCAGCTTATTTACCTTTCCAATATTTTTGAGAGAGCTCAGCTAAAATTTGAAGGTTAATAGCAGCTATTGGTGTAGTGCCTAAGACATTTGACTACTAACTAGAAGGCTGGCAGTTCAAACCCACCAGCCACTCCTTGTAAGGAAGATTGGCCAGTCTACCTCTGTAGTGACACCGCTCGGAAACCCAAGGAGGGGTCTCTGAGTCAGATCTGACTCTATGGCAGTGAGTTTGGTTTTTCAGTTATTATCATTGGAGGTTTAAATGTAAATATAAATTTACATTTTACACACAGGTGTAAATATGTGTGCCTACTCACACGTGATAAGGATGTAGAGAATAATTGAATAACTGGATCGTTTTTCTTTTGTTGGATAAGGAACCGAGCCTTGATTTTTTTTTTTTTTTTTTTGTGATTTAAAATGAAGCAAACAGTTTGGAATTTTATAAGGTTAATGTAAAATTAAATGAGACAATATGTGTAAGGTGAATCACTTGATAAAAGTTAGTTTTATAATGTAGTATATTAGGTTTAAAGGGGAAATGGGGAACTGACATTGGAAGACACACGTGTCATTTTTTTGTCTCCCTGCCCTGAAAAGGATAATTGTATGGCCTTTTGAGTTCTTTTGGTGATGTTAAATTTATCCTTTTTAGAGGTTCAGCTGCATTACTATTAAATGGCACAAGGTACCTGTTGGTTAGTTCCAAGTTTGATTGATTGGAAACCATACTTGGTATTTGTTCTTGCAATTAAGCGTAGAATCTAAAAAATCTTAGAAACTTAAGTGCAGAAAACTGGCACTGCCACTTTTGGGCTTCATTTCTGATCTGGTACCTTTGATTAATATTAAATAATAAAATATTTTTAATGTTATCTTAAATTGTAGTAATTTTAAGAAAAGATAATACATTTAGATGTTTGTTTAAGCATTTTAGACCTCAAGTAGATAGAAGATAAACAAGAGTATAAACATGGTGGAAGCATAGAAAATACTCTTGTTTTGAATAGACCTCAAATACCCTTAGGTTCATTGAGTTAATATTGTGTATGTGATCTCATCTACTTTTTTCTCATTAGGAATTTGGAGTAGTCTCTAATACAAGATTGATTTCTGCTGCTACTTCTGTATGTAAGTACAAAAAGTATATCCTGCTTCAAGGAGTAATTCCCCCCCCCCCCCAAAAAAAAACCTACATAGGATATAGCTACTTTTCAGTGTTTTAGATGTGAGAGGAATTAGTTTGATTTATTTTAAATCTCCTGAGGATACCTGTGTACTTAATGTTTTTTGCTTAAAATATGAAGTTTCTGTTTTAGAACCAGTTATATTGTTAAAGGAAAGTGAGTAGTAATTATAGATCTAAAAAACCAATTCAGTGGCTATTAATTTTGTGATAACTGCCCCCCCCCCAAAAAAAATTAAACCTGTTGCCATTGAGTTGATTATGACTCATAGTGACCCTGAAGGGCAGAGTAGAAATGCTTCATAGCGTTTCCAAGACTAATCTTTCTGGAAGCAGGCTGACATATCAAGCAGGCTGGTGGGTAGAGAAAAAAATTAATCTCCTAATTTTATTGTGTTTTACTTTAGTGAGTAGTTGTGTTATTCTTGTGGGTGGAATAAACTATTTCTTTAGCAACTATACTCACTCTCACTGCCATTGAGTCGTTTCCAATTTATAATGATCTGTGAGGCAGTATATCTACAGAAGTAGATTGCCCAGTCTACTTCTGAGGAGTGGCTGGTGGGTTTGAACCTCTAGCCTTCTGGTTAGCAGTCAAATGCCTTAGGCACTATGCCACCAGAGCTCCTATAATCTTTGACTTTTATAAAGAATTACATATTTTCCCCCCATATTGATAAACATGATAGAGAAAAAAGAACTAACTCCATAGTCAGTAGAGTTGACTTTTAGTTCCTCTTCTGTATCTAAGCAGCTGCATAACCTTGAGCAAGTTACTTTATCTCTTGGTCTTAATTCTTTAGCTAAAAAGTTGGGCCATAGCTGCATGTGAATTGTGACATTAAAGGAGGTAACATTGTAAAGTAGTAGTTACAAAGTACTGTACACAAAGTAATAACATTATGCTTCTTCTTCATGGATCAAGTGAAATGGCATAAACTAACTGAAGATATTTCAGACTGTCTTTTTTTACTTTGCTCAGCTGCTAACCAGAAGGTTGGCAGTTCAAATCAACCAGCTGCTCGGTAGCAGAAAGATGTGGCAGTCTGCTTCTGTAAAGATTTATAGATTGAAAACTCTGAAGAGGCTTTTCTGCTCTGTCCTGTGAGGTTGGTGAGTCAGAGTCAACTGGACAATAATGAGTTACTGATATATACAAAAGAGGCAGAGGGAAGTTTGTTATGTTTTTTAAGTTTGTGATTCAGACTACTAATCTTCATATTTTTGGATCATTCCCCTTTCTGAGAAGTATGCAGTTATCTAATTCTATGTATAAAATTCTGTTTTCCATTTCATATCTTAATTCTTTTAAGTATAGATTAGGAATCAGTTTTGCCATAGAATTTAATGAGCAAGCATGTATCACATGAGTGAAGAATTCATATCTGGAAAATTAAATTATAGAAAAATTACAAGACAACTGGAGGAAAGGCTACCAGAATGTTAGCAATGTTCATCTCTTGGTGGTAGATTATAAGTGCTTTATTTTCTTCTGTTAGTCTCTGCTTCCCAGAGTTTTAGGTTGTTGTTGTTATGTGCTGTTGAGTCGTCCCTGACTCATAGCGACCCCTCCTTGGGTTTCCAAGGTGGTATCACTACAGAAGTAGGATTGTCCAACCTTCCTTCCGAGGAGTGGCTGGTGGGTTTGAACCACCAGCCTTCTGGTTAGCAGTTAAGTGCCTTACGCACTATGCTACCAGAGCTTCTAGTTTTAGGTTTATGTTTTTAAAAAAGTAAGATATCTACTACCATTGTTCGTTTATTTATATTTTTCATATAAGGATTAAAAGTACATATATGAGTTTTTGGTTACCATTGAATAAGAAAGTTCTATATCTATAGTAGGCTATTTTATTTATTAGATAATTTAAAAAAAACACATTATATAGAGCCATACTGCCTAGATTTCACATTTTAACTCCAGTGCTTTATTTGTGACAAACTGAACAAAATACTTAATCTCTCTGTGCCTCAGTTTCCTCATCTACAAGATGACAATATTAATATCCATATCATACAGTTTTGTGAAGATTAAATGAGTTAATGTATATAGAGCTTTTAAAATAGTACTTTGGCCCATAAACTTTAGACGCTGTTAGCATCATCAGCATAAACACCCTTATCACTGAAAGACACAATATTGGATACAGTTGTTGTTGTTGTTGTTGTTTGCCGTTGAGTCGGCCCCGACTCATAGCGACCCCTCCTTGGGTTTCCGAGGCAGTATCACTACGGAAGTAGGATTGCCCAACCTTCACAGTAGTGGATACAAATTTAAGGAATTTAAGGAAAACAAAGTGAGTCATGCATATAAAATTATAGAATGAAATAAGTGGTCTAAGAAGGTGACAGATAATGCTGTGAATGTTTTGAGTGGGAAAAGATTACTTGTTAGAAGAATCCAGAAAGACTAAATAATCTGGTCAAGTACATAGATAGAATTTGATCCTAGGTAAACGCAGGGAAAAGACAGTCCAGGAACATTGAACCAAAATAAAAAAAACAAACCTGTTGCCATCAGAGGAGCTCTCGTGGCGTAGTGCCTCAGGCATTTGACTGCTAACCAGAAGGCTGGCAGTTCAAACCCACCAGCCACTCCTCAGAAGAAAAGTTGGGCAATCTACTTCTGTAGTGATACCACCTTGGAAACCCAAGAGGGATCTCTATGAGTCAGATCCTACTTGACGGCAATGAGTTTTGGTTTTATTGCTATCAAGTTGACTGCAACTCATAGTGACCCTATAGGACAGAGTAGAACTGCCTTAGAGTGTTTTCAAGGCTGTAAATCATTTTGTTTGTTTGTTTGTTTTTCAATTTTTATGTGATTTGGGTGAAAGTTTACAGGGAAAATTCATTTTCCATACAGCAGTTCATGCATGTTTTATTTCATGACGTTGACTGCAGTTCCCCACAATGTAATAGCTCTTTTCCCACTTCTTCCCTGCAGTTATCTCTTGTGTCCTTCCTTCCCATACATTCCTGCCCCCCCCGGGCTCTCTCCCTGTGCAAACACTGCCCTTTTACTCTCCCATAATAGACCACTCCAAGGAGTGTATCTGCCTGATGTAATGTTCAGCCCATATACCTGTCGGTTATTTGGCTGGAAGCCACAGTTGTTGTTATGTGCCATCGAGTCGGACCCGACTCATAGTGACCCCTCCTCGGGTTTCTGAGGCAGTATTACTACAGGAGTAAATTGCCCAAACTTTCTTCTCAGGAGTGGCTGGTGAACTGCCAGCCTTTTGGTTAGCAGTCAAGTGCCTTAGGCACAGTAGTGAGTTCAATTCCAGATCTGAAGGGTAGCTAGAAGTCATAGTCTCAAGAGTCTCACCAGGCTCTATCAGACCAGCAAACTTGGTCTTTTTAAAATCATTTTGAGTTTTATTTCACATTGTTTTTCCACTCTATCCAGGATCTCCTACATGGATCCCCTTCAGAGTGGTTGACAGTGGTTGACAGTGGTAGCCAAGCACCGTCTAGTTCTTTTGGTCTCATGGTCATACAGGCTGAGGATCACATGGTCTGCCAGTCCCTTGGACTAATTGTTTTCATGCATCTTGGTTTTCTTCATTCTTCTTTGCTCTGGATGAGGAGAGACCCATTGTTGCATCTAGATGGCCACTTGCAAGCTTTTAGGATCCCAGTCCAAGGCTGTAAATCTTTATGGAGGCAAATTGCCTCATCTTTATCCCACAGAGTTGCTGGCGGATTCAAACTGCCAGCCTTTTGGTTAGCATTCAAATGCTTTAACTACAGCACCACCAAAGCTCCTTTTAGAACATTGAGCAGCATGGTCAAAAAGAGGGAAAATTAATTACATTTAGTGAATGGTGACTAAGAAGATAATAGAAAATAATCCTTCTTTGATAATAGAGAGGTTTAGTGCTAGGTGAAAAAGACTGCAATTTGTTCTGTTAACAGTAGGCTTTATTTTTAAACATAAAGATGATAACTAGAATTGTGCATTAGGAAAGTGAATCTGGCATGAACATAATGAATATAAGATGAATTAGAGGAGAATCACATTTTGAAGTTATTGAAGTAATCTAGGTAAGCATTATTGAAAGCTTATACTAATGTATTGCTAGTCAATGTGGAGAAGAGCAAGACAGAGATTTTAGCAGTAGAGGAAATAGGACTTGTAAGAAGGTAGGTCTTAAGAGTCAAAAATGATTTTGATCCCTGAGACTATGGCTCTTAGACACCCTTCATCCCTGGAATGAACTCATACCTATGGCTCAACTTTCAGCCAAACAATGGAAAGGCCTATAAGATGAATAATAACACCAGGGAAGTATGCACTCCCTAGAACATCCAACCATACTAGAGCAAAGGGGCAACATAAAGCTCAAAAGGTAGGTAGGGATAGGAAAGAAGAACAAAAAGAAATGGAAAGCACAGGGAGGAAGTGGGAGGAGTACTGTTAAATTGTCATAAATCAAAATATGTATGAATTGTTAAAAGAAAACCAGTTTGTTCGTAAATTTCTACCCAACTGACTTCAGGCCTGGGCATTGGGGAGCTGATGGTGGTACCAGAATAGAGAATAAGAGGATTCTGAAAAGAATTATATTTAATCTTGGACATTTTAAGTGTAAATATATCGATACTACATCCTCTTAAAAACGTAAGACCAGTGATAGAAATTTGGGAGTTGATAAATTTTAAGAAAGAGATAGAATTGCACAGTGTCTTGTGTACCATAGAAGATGTGAACAGCAGCAGCAATAAAAGACCTTTAAGTGTGGCCTTTGAGAAAGGACATAAGGTTATATGACACTATGGAGGTGGAGGTAGAAGCCAGATTTCAAGGTAGTGAGAAATGAAGAATAACTATATTACAAATGTGTGAAACATATTCATTGAAGGAGGTGTGGGGGAAAAGTGTTGACCTAAGTAACTTTTGGAAATTAATGGACTCAGTAAGACTAGGCAAATGGAACTAGACGTAATCATTGTACTCTAGTTAATAAAGTTGTTGCCCTTGAAGGTACGAGTTCACAGTTTTTTGAAATTGAACAATTAAGTAAATGAATAGTGAATGGTCAGAGCCAGGTTTCTTACTGTCAGAGTAGGAATTTGTAGATAAACAAGGGAAGCAGTCTAGAATGATCTATACAGTAATGAATTAGAGTTGATGACATCAGTATAAACTCATGTTTAGCTTAATATAGATCAGATGGTTATATATGAAGTATTTATAGATACGTGTATCTACACTGGTTAGTATATACATATATTTCTTTGCTTTGTCTGCTGAGAGGATCTATAAGAAATGATATCCCAGTAGCAACAAATTACCTAGCACCCAGATTTTTCTAATACCATTTTCCATTACAAGGAACCAGGACTACTATGAGAAATATCTGATTCTAGGACTGTGGCAGGAAATATACAAGATGGGTTGGGTCCATCTTGTAGTGCCAGAAAGTAAGGAAGTACTCAAAAACCCAAAAACCGTCATTGTTGGGGATATGTCAAAGGGATATAGGAACCAACTGAAAGAGTTCCTCAGTGACCAAAGGTGGGACAGTTTGAGCAAGAAATTAAAGTAGTATTGAATTATAACCCAAAGTATAGCAAAATATCCATGAGTCCATACTAATATAAGTAAATGATTGAATAAATAAATGGAGAAGAGACAAATTTCTCATGCAGAAGTCGTCCAAATTATTTGTAGATACTCTGCCCTCAAGTTGTTGTTGTTGTGTGCCATTGAGTCAGACCTGACTCATAGCGACCCTTCCTTGGGTTTCCGAGGCGGTATCACTATGGAAGTAGATTGCCCAACTTTCCTTCCAGTAGGGGGAGCATAAATCCCCACTCTTTATATGTGGACTGTGCATAGTGCTTCTTTCCAAAATGTAGTATAGAATCGGGAAGGGGAGAATAATTAATTTAACAGTGGAAAAATGTGGCAAGTACTCTTCAGACAGGTGATCAAGGTCAGTGTCAGCAGTGATAAATCATGTTGATGTATGTACCCTTTATATGATGTGATGAAATGGCATTTTACCTCTGTGATCTTCCTCCTCCCAAAAACCCATAACCTCAGTTTAATTATGAAAAAAACATCAGACAAATTTCAGTAGACATGCAACCTATAATATACCTGCCTAGGACTCCTGAAAACTGTCTAGGTCATCAGAAGCAAAGTCTGAGAGACTGTCGTAGTCAAGAGGAGTCTAAGGACACATGACAACTTAAATGTAGTATGTATCTTTCTGGACCAGAAAGAGGATATTAGTTAAAAATTAGGGAAATGTGAATAAACTGTGGACTTTAATAATAATATATCAATATTGGTCTAGTAATTGTAGCAAATGCACTGTACTTATTAAGATGTTAATAATTGGAAACTAGGTGGGTGGGAGAGTATAAGGGAATGATATCTTATGTTTTTTGTAAAATTATAACTTTTCTAAAATTATAGACTAGAATTAGAGGTGTTTTTTTTTTACTTTTAAAAAGGGAAATTTGAGCATATTAGAAAATGATGGGACAGATTTATTGGAGAAGGAAAGATTGAAGATTTAAAAAAAAAAAGTTAAGAATTAACAAATGCCCAGGTGGTAGGATTAGCTATGGAGAGGAAGAATATAGTTTTCTCCAGAAGAAAAAGATTAGAAGACAGAAAGTTAAAATGCAGAGCAATTTTAGGGTGAAGGAGAGAATTTAACAGCATCAGAAAATCTAATCTCTAAATTAGTGGTCTAGGGGTTACTGATGTAGATTTGTTTTATGTACCAGAAATAATCATTTTACCTTGTTGATTGGTTAGCACTATGCCTGTTGCTCACTTAACTATCTCATCTGACATTCCACATTTATGGCAATAGTAAAAAAAACCTATCCAACGATTTTGTGCATTAACGTCGCATGTCTGGCAATGATGAATGTCAAGGTGAGAGTGATGCTGTGATGGTTATGTGACAGCTTTGCTGGGCCATGATCAGTGGTTTGACAGTTATGTAATGATGTGATTTGGCAGTTATGTAATGTAGTCATCTTCCATTTGGGGATCTGATGTGGTGGTTCTCCATTTTTACATAATGCTGATTTTCCCATAACAGCCTGGTCCTTGGAACCTAACCATTTCTATAAGTAAGGCATGGGTGTATATAAGTAACTGTTCTACTTCTATACTTGTTTGTAGCAAAAGGATTGGGAAAAGCCAGAAACCTTAATAAGTACTTCTGAAAAATTAATTAACTGAAGGGCAGAGGAGAGGAAAGGAAAGATTAATTATAAATTTCCTAATGTTTATTGGGTGGCACAAATGGTTAAGCACTCACCTACCAACTGAAAGGTTGATAGTTTGAACCCACCCAGAAGGCTCCTTGGAACAAAAGCCTGGTGCAGTTTCTTTCCCACAGATCATAGACTCTGAAAACCTTATGGAGTACAGTTCTACTCTGAAACACATGGGGTCACTATATGTTGGATTTGACTATAGCAACTGGTTTGGTTTGTTTAGGTTTTCTGTAGATTTCAAATTTTAGGAGATGTTACCTATCTACATTAGCTATTAGGATACTCAGTTTACAAAACTAAACTTTTTCAAAATACACAGAATAAATGGAATTCCTTTCTAATCTCGGTGAGGTTACCTGGACCTTGTACAAAAGGAAGGAGTCAAGTCACAGATAAGACTTAGATTTAGAACCTGTCAGTATTGACTTGTTTTAATGAAATGATACATGAAAATGGCTTGAATATAGTTTTCTCAATTAGTACTTAGATGTATACATGCACACATTTTTGAGAAGCTGTGAGGAGGTGAGGTTGATGGTTAATACTTTTTAGTTTTACTCTTTTAGTGACTAAGACAAATGGTAACTATGTTTTTGATACCAAAAGAGATAAAAGTTACGAAGATTTATTAAAGTGTCTTTAGATTAAGAAGTTTAAAAAAGAGTTTAGAAAATGCAGGTAAGTTAAAAAAAAAAATCATCAACTCTCAGAGATTACCACTGTTAACATTTTGTGTTGTATTATCCTTCCAATATTACGTTATTATCTAATAAATATTTATAAACATATACATAACCTATATTTCTTCTAAGCTAAACATTGGAGGATAAACATTACATTCTAGAGTTGAAAAGATTTTAGAAATGAAAAAAGCCAATGATTTTTCCAATCCTTGCATTTTGTAAACAGCAGAACCTTCTTTTTAATATATAAAGTATAAAACTGAAGCTCTCTAATTGTAGTATAGATTGGGCCTAGAACTTCCTTCCCCCTAGTCTTTCCTCTCCTGGGAAAAAGAATAAAAAACTGGGTCCCTAAGCATCTTTAAGAACTCGGTAACTAGAGATGATTTAAGCCTACCCTCTAATTTTCTACAATGTTTTAGATAATTTTTGGTTTAATTCACTTTCTCATTTTCTCAGTTTAAGTTGTGCTTTTGTTTTATTTTATTTTCTGCAGTGAAAACTAGATTTTCATATGCCTTTCCAAAGGAGTTTCCTTATAGGATGAACCATGTAAGTATGTTATAAAAAAGAAAACTGTCAGATTTTTAAGTTTGTCAGAGTGGTACTGCCAAAGGGGCAAGGAGGCCACATCTTCTGACCTCCTCTAACCCCACAAGGGGAAGACAGAATCACCATCAGGAGCCTAAGGCCTGTACCTGTGAGGCCAGACATGCTGCCTCCCACCAGCCCTTTCACCAGCTGTTCCTCCCACAGCACCCACCACCTCTTTGTTAGTTTTGATAATTCGCTGCAGTGGCCACACAGAACTCACAGATTAATGGAGTTTATTAGGGAAGCACCAGACTGCAATTCAAGTTCAGAAATGTACTCAGTTTCTCGCAGCTGGCCATTTCATTCAGCAGCCGGCAATCTCAGTAGCACATTGAGCTCTTAGCAGTGTGTGTCTCTCAGGTCTCTCTCTCAGTAGCATGTGTCTCTCACATCTCTCAGGAGCTCATTTCTCTAAGCAGCACGTCTTTCTCAGCTGGCCCTAAGAGATTCCTTCTCCTTGTAGGAGGGCTTCTTTTGAGCCTGGCAGAGTGGCCCAAACCAACCAATCCCAACATCAGAGTTTTACACACCTAAGAGAGAGTGAACTTCCCAGAAAATTAGTTCATGCTGCTCCCAACAGAAATACCCCAGGTGGATAACTTTAACAATCAGGAGCTAAACAGTTGTTCACAGCAAAGTCCACCACGGAGTTTACAAAGACTTAGGGCTAGAAAAGCCACACTATGTCATTTAATTTAGTACACCACAGGTTACATAAACTACACTTTATATCAGAATAAACTGAAAAGACTCAGAAATGGCTGTTTCAGATACTAAAGAATATAGACATTAGTTTTAAATTGAACCTAAATAGGTTCTACTTTTTTTTTTTTTTTTTAATAACAATGGTTATCAACCCTGGCTGACCCATAAATCACCTTGGGAACTTTTTAATAAATTGACATTGTTACCTCTCTAGACTAATTAAATCAGAATTTTTAGGGTTTGGTTCTGGGCATTGATATTTTCTAAAAGCTTCCAAGTAATACTAATGTGCAGCTGTGATTAAGAACTACTATAATGGAACAGTGTGAAAACTATTTTAAAAGTTACATCACATTATAAAGTGACTTTCTGTTGACCTTATAATAGGCATGTCCTTATTCTTCCATCTTGTGAGGGATTTGTTCATTCTTTTTTTTTTTTTTTTTTCCCTAAAAGTCTTTCAGTATTTTTTCCACTTAATTGATTTATAATGTAACAAGCATAACTTTATAGGGGAGATAATTGTGCTTTCTGCATTTGCTGGGGAGGAAGTGTATTAGAAAATCTGAAGATTATGCAGGATATTTTAAGGATTGACATGCTTTGTAGTCATAACTCCATGTCTTATGTGTTAATAAAAAGTAGTGTATTACTGTATGTGTTTGTTTTAAAGTACTGGTTTTATTTTACTTACTTTAAAAAATTTGTGATAAATAGTAATGTCTCTCTATATTATTTTGTTAGACTAAGCAGATTCATCTAATTTGGTTTCATGTTGACATTTGATTGAGCTTTTTTTTTTTTTAATAGATACTAGAATGTGAATTTTATCTTTTGGAACTCATGGTAAGTATATTTCCTTCTTGTGAATAATAGAGTAAAACTTAATACTTTCAAATTTAATCAAGTCAGGAAATATTTAAAGAAATAATATAGGGAGGTCTGTTTTAAAATTATCCAAGAGGTACATAGTGGTGAAATCATAGTAGCCTAGTAGCATCATGCCCTATGTCCTATCTGAAGATGTAAAAATAATTTGTATATCCTACTTAAGATGGGAAGTTTTTCTGTCAGTAACTATAATAAAAGGATTAAGAACAAACTGGGCAGAACCTTAAATCATTGTAAATTATTTGCACAATTTGTGTATATGCGCAGTGTTATTTAAAGTAGGTTATGTCTTTGGCAGAATTCTACTCCTTCAGTTGGGAATTTTGAATTTATAGGCTAATAAGAGGTTTCAGTGTGTTGCAGATGTGACACTTTGAGTCTCTAAGGGAATGGATGCTGACTGACTGCCAACCGATTTACCAAGGTATATTCCAGAGAGAGCACTGCCTTCACTATTACGTTAGGGTTTAGGGCTGCCATACTGCTTGCTTAAGAGACTAAGGGAAGCAAGCATGATTAGAACAATTTATTTTGAAATAAACAATTACAAATCAGTTGGGTAATGATGTTGTTTTGTGTTGTAACAAATCTGTTTTTTATACATACACATTTTTTAAACTGTTTCTAGGATTGTTGCTTGATAGTGTATCATCCTTATAGACCTTTGCTCCAGTATGTGCAGGACATGGGCCAAGAAGACATGTTGCTTCCCCTTGCATGGTAATTAGAACAGAAGTTATTAATAGTGTAACATGTTATTAGCTAGGAAGGTTGACAACTAAATATGAAGCTTAGTATTTTTTAAGTCATTGAACTAGTGCCACAAGATATTTTATGTTGAATGACATACCTTTTAAATTTTAATAACATCTAAGTAGCATAAATACTAAAATAATAAAATCTTAAATTATCTGTTTTATTTATATATATAAAAATTTTATTTTGTATGAAAAGCAATCTGCATAAAAATTAAGATTGAAGTTATCTTTGAAATAATCAGAATAGTTTTTGGTGGTATTCAATATACATATCAATTCCTTGTATAATTTCTGGTTTTCTATCTGATTGCTTTCCAGTTTTTAATAAATTGAAAACTTACTATTTCTTGTGAGGTTTTAAAATTTCAAATACATTTGGCTGTAGTTTTAATCATTAAGATGTGTTTATTGTTACATTCTTGTATCTGTCTTTTTGTCTTGATATTTTTACCTTTTATATCTGCTTTGGTAATAGAAAAATAAGTGTGTGTAGATGGTAGATCTTCTCTGGGAGGAAATGTACGATAATTATCTGAAGTAGTTCTGCTTTTAATAATGATAATTTACATTTCTATAGGAGGATAGTGAATGATACCTACAGGACGGATCTTTGCCTACTGTATCCTCCTTTCATGATAGCTTTAGGTATGTAAATGTCACGTACCTTTATTAGTTAAATTGTTATAAACCTATTTAGATCACCCTAAAATAAATTTTACCCTATTGTACTTTATGTTCCATGAAGTAATATAATAGACTAATCCCTCCTTGCATGTGAACTTTCAATAATATGAATTGGAACTGTCAAAAATAAGGATTATTGCCCCCCACACACACATACACACACAGTCCTTTTTTTTTTTTTTTTTTTTTGGTAAGTTTATTTTAAAATTGCTTAAAATAATTTAAATTAATGTCTGAATAGAACATTTGTGTGTATTTAGGGGGAAAAGTTAAGAATTATGCTTGTTAATATTAGTTGTAACTCATCATGTAAAATAACTAGGCCTTTTATTTCCTGAATCTGGGAAAGTCCTTAGAGGTCAAGTAAAGGATCTGTGTTCTTTAATGCCTTATTGGAGGGAAAAGTTAACTTCTGGTGTATCTGTGGAAGGCAGGGGTGTAATGGATTAGAACATAGTCTTTGGAGTTAGATACTTCAAAGTGGCTTTCTAGCAAACTAATCTTTGCTTCCTTTAAAGTTATAAGAAAATTACCTAGCCTTTCTGAGTTTGCTTCCTCAGTTATAAAGTAGAAAATAGTAATAATTGTGTACCAAGTCGTTACAACAATTGAATGATATATCTTGTAAAGCACCAATGCCTGGTATTTGTTAGGTAATTACTAGTTTCTGTTCTTTTATTGATTTCCATGACTCTAGTCTCTTGATAATTTTGTTTTTCCCCTTAGTCTTTCACTAGTCCAGTCTTAACTTTATTGGTTTCTTTTTCCATTTATTCCTTATATGTTGATGTTCCTTAACATTTCTTACATCAAAAAACTCAAAACCAAACCTAATGCCATTGAGTCAATTCTTATTGATAGTGACTCTATAGGCCAGAGCAGAATTGCCCCCATAGGGTTTCCAAGGCTGTAAATCTTTACGGAAGCAGACTGCCTCATCTTTCTCCTGTGGAGCAGCTGGTGGGTTCAAATCACTGACGTTTTGGTTAGCAACTGAATGACTTAACCACTGCGCCAGTTATACTTAATTTGTAGTATATGGAAACTTTGAATACACTGTATTTGGAAGAATTCCAAAGTATCTGGGTTTAGTTGGAAGGAATGCTGGGATCTGCATGGGTAGGAAGAAGGAAATGGCAAGCCTTGTGCTGCATTTTTGCCATCCCTGCTGTTTTTATTCACTCTTGGTAGTCTCATGGAGGCCCATCGCTTCTGCTACTTACTACTTATATGCTGAGTCATATGTATAATCAGACTAGTTAATATAACTTTTCACAACCTGGATGGAATCAGTAGGAATGAGTTTAAGCAAAATTGTGAAGTAGATGGTTATCTTTGGGCTCTTTTGCTGTCTTTATATTTTTTTATATTGTATTATGTATAAGACATTAAATTTTGTATTTAATATTTTGATTATGACACTGTCTTCTCTATCAGTCTGCCTGGTCTTCACATAACCTGATCATGTGCTAATAACTTAAAACAAGAAAAAAAAGCAGACTCAACACTGCTTATAATTGAAATATCAAAATACAGTCAGTATTACTGAACTTTATCGACATATTGATTGGCTGTTCATTTTGCAAACACTGACTGCTGGTTGCAGTTTGATCACTACTTTGTACTGCTGTTCAGAGATGACTTCCCTGCTTTAATCTCCTCATTGGATTTTTTCCTCATTAATATATCTTGACTCTTGAGGAAACTGCACCATGAGTAACACAGTTAGGAGAAGGAAATGTCAAGAACCTTTTTTTTTTCTCTTTATCTGCTTAAATTGATGGCATGATGGCATGTTCTATGGCAACTTTATATGAAGCCATAAAAATTTTTAATAGTAGAAAAATGAACGTGAAAAATCTTTTGTTCTAAGTCCATGAATTCCTTTTTGCAGTTAAACATTGGCAGTTGTCTCTAATTTTCTTTACAGCTTGCCTACATGTAGCCTGTGTTGTACAGCAGAAAGATGCCAGGCAGTGGTTTGCTGAGCTCTCTGTGGACATGGAGAAGGTAGTCTTTAAAAGCTCCCTCAGTTGAATATTGACTTGAACATTTTAAAATTCACATATTTAATTATCTCAGACCTAAAATTTTATGTCCACAGGCTAAGGAGATTATTGGTTAGCAAATATTAAGAAACATGTGTTTGGCAGAAGAGTTGATAATAACTATTTTGTTTCTTTTTTTTGACTTGGGGTTAAAGAGGATGGCAAATCTTTGATTTGATTGGCTGTAAAATAGTCTAACTTACAGTATTATTTTAAAAGGTGCTTATATATGCCATAGGGACCACTAAATACTGTGAACTTCTGTAACACAACCTATCTCCTAGCAAAGTGGTTTTGTCCTGTTTTCTACCTTTTCGAAACCATAGTAACATTGTATCTAATCCAAGATTAGCTCTATTTAGGTAGGCACTAAAGAGGTAATTTGGAAACTGAATATGATCAATTTATGGTTGCCATTTTTTGAGTACTTTAACTCAAGTGTAGAGTAGTTAACAAAACAATGTCTTCTGTGCATTCCCTCCCATAAAAATGTTTGAAACAGTTGGAATTAGAGGAGTGTGCTCCATAGTGGCATGTACTCCTTCATCCCAAAAAACCAAAAGCCAAACTCACTGCTATTGAGTCAATTCTGACTCATACCAACTTCCACTGGGTTTCCAAGGCTGTAAAATCTTTATAGAAGCAGACTGCCTCATCTTTCTTCTGTGGAGCAGCAGATGGGTTTGAACCAGCAACCTTCTGGTTAGCAGCCAAATGCCTTAAGTACTATACCACCAGAGCTCCTCCCTTCATGACTAGAACCTCTCTATTCATAGTACTTCACTAGTTTTCTTGGTTTGCTGTAACAAGGTCAAAATAGTTTCTGAGATAGAGTAACTTTGTTTTGGTTTATAATGTCAGTAGATATTATAAACTATTGCTGAGATGGATCAGGATGGACAGGGCATGTATGTTAAAAGCTAAAAGGCTAGGTGGAGAAACCTAAATAGCAGTGTGGTAGAGAATACCACTTTAAAATTTATCAGATTGTCTAATCTAACCTAAATACTTAAAGGCTGTATCTTTTCACTGTTTTCTGAGGAATGCTAATAAGTGATATGTGCTTTATATGCTAAATGTTGACTGTTACTGCTACTGAAAACTTTTTAAAATATTTTTATCTAGATTTTGGAAATAATCAGGGTTATTTTAAAACTTTATGAGCAGTGGAAGAATTTTGATGAAAGAAAAGAGATGGCAACTATCCTTAGTAAGATGCCAAAACCAAAACCACCTCCAAACAGGTACTTTGTTGACTTTAATTATTGATTTCATTTAATTATATATTTTACACTACTTTCTCATGTTTTTTCCTTAAGTTGTTATATCTTTTCTTAAAATTTCTCCAAAAATTCATGATTCATCATAGTTTTATTATTAGTATTCTTATTAGTGAATTGATAGATTATCTATTAAAATATACATTGATATGATCATCTATTTAGTAATTTTCTTAATGAAATGGCAGGTCTATTACAGGTATCCCTCAACATATGGTTACATAATGTATAGAAATTTAAACAGAACAGAGTTAGGCAGGTTTATTTGATATTTGCAGATAAAGAATTATGTAATAGTCCAATGGCAGTTTGACTCTATATCATCTTTTTTTCCACTACTGGTTATTATCCTGTTTTTATAAATTTCAGTAACAGTTTTCAAAAATTTAGATGATTGAGCTAATCTGGAACTATGTGGTACCTGTTAAGAAGAGCCAGCAACTTGTACAAACATTTTCATGATGTAGCAAGTTACAAAGGCCAGCAAACCACTGGAAAGTTAGTTTAAGAATTAGAAGACCTATTTTTCTATGCATGTTGTGAAAATAGAGGCAGCATCAGTTGTTCACATTGCTAGGAATGTGATAATGCTGTACCTGAAGAAGCTCATTGAAGAATGGTTTTATACTCAGCAAAAAATATTAAACCCTTAGACAAAATGGTGCAGAACCATGGTATATAATGTATATATCATGTATCCCACATCCACTAATAGTATAAACATAGTGGATCAAGATCCTGACTTTGATTTTGGCCAGTATTAGAAGTCCAGATTGCTTCCCATATAAGTAAGTAGTAAGAAATTTCCAGATGAAGAAAAAGTCCACACAATAAGTTCTTGGAAGAATGGAATGAATGATTTCAAGGGGTTACTTTCCATAGATAAGAAGTGAAAAAAAAATTATGTAGTTTGCATGCCAGATGATGGTGAAGATTTCTTGAATATGGCTGAGCTTAATAGGGGATATGATTTATACCAGGGCATAAATAGGCAATGAGAAAGACCATTAAGAATTGGTTTAATAAAAAGTGAAGATTTGGGAAACAGAATTAGAAAAAGATAAATAGAATATTTATAAATTTAGAAACATTTTCCATATGTGAGTCTTAAGGTCCTTTGAGAAAGAGAACTATTTTCTCCATCAACTTTTCTACTACCTAGTTCACTAACTTTTACAAAGGACTTAGCTTACCTGCTATATAACCTGCCCTTATCCTGCTATAGAGTACATTTCATAATCTTCATCCATACATCGCATATAGCTTCAGACATTATCATTGATCATTATAAATTTTATTAAAGTCCAGATAAATTAAGGTGTACGGTGATGATAAAGTGTAATGTAGCTTATTTTAGTAGCCAGATTTATGTGAATATAGCTATAAATGACTTTTATTCAAAAGCTATTGGACCATTAAATGTTAAAGGCATTGGCTAGACTTTTAGTAATACTCTACTGCATTTTATAGAAGAATACATTTATAAATACATTGATATATTTATAAATATCAAGTATCTGTATTTATAAAGATCTCCTCAAATATTTCTCTGAAATGTCAAGTCTGCTGCATTTGTCTGAAAATATGACTGTTTTAATCTTGCGTACACTAAATGCCATTCGGGGGGTATATTATAAGAATCTACTACATATAGAAAAATGATAGGTTAAAAAATATATATATGCAGATATCATCATGAATTATTGACTTGGGTATCTGACACTGTCAGTCCTGTTTTTCCCCAAATTGTTCTGCAAGTTCAGAAACATGTTACAATTCTTGAAAAAGACCTTAATATCATAAATGTTTATGGAGCCCAATTGTCAGAGTGTTCAGAGGGCTTTACAGAAGAAACAAACACAGCTTGCCTGGGGAAAGGTCACACTACAGAAGGAAAGTAAAGAAATGCTACCCATCTTAATCATTTATCTAGAAAAACAATCACATTATATAACATTAAGATAGATTTTTATATTGTTACTGATAATGTAACTGATTTTAAAAAATTAATAATTAACTTATGCAAGGAGCTGTTTAAGGCAGTCATTCAAACAGCTACCTTTGAATGCATTTTTTGCAGAAATTCCCTGAGTGATTCTCCACTAGTGGCAGGGCCTGAAGCTGCAAGATGATGATGGACAGGATAAGGCAATAATCCTATTGCCACAGTTACTGGTATTTTCAGTTTTAGTTATTTTTATTTTAAATATTCAACATTTTCCAGGAAATTACCATATTTCTTTCCTGACTTATAAAGGTTTGCTGTATTTACATGATTTGATTATGTCTGTGGACAATAATTTTTTTTGGAAGAATACTTTTTGATTTTCATAGTCAGTAGGAATAGGATTTTACATGTAGGATTTAATTTTATAGGAAATTTCTTCAGAAGAAGCCTAATCTCTATGTTGAATGATACCTGTAATGACAATGAAATCTCATGCCCTGATTTAAATTTTTTGAGTGTATACAGACACTTGATTTCCAGAATCCTTGTTATTTGTGAAGGCACAAAGTTACATAAAAATAAAAACATAAAACCAAATGGTACTCTTCTGGATTTTGATTTTCCCACCTCTGTGTCTTACAATCAAGAATGTCTTTGTTTTTTAGAATTTTGCCACAGACTAACTTTAAAAAATCAGTAGGTTTATTAGGCTGTTGAAAATGAATCTTTTAATTGGTATAAAATCTCTTTCTTCCCCACTTTAACAGTGAAGGAGAGCAGGGTCCAAATGGAAGTCAGAACTCTAGCTACAGCCAGTCTTAAAACATTCCGAAGAATTCCGTAGTGGACCACTTGGAAATAAACCATTGGACAGATTTCAGTAATGTCTTCAATGGAACACAAATGAAAATGAATAGCTTGTTTCTGTCAAGCACATTGGGAAGTGATTTTATTTTTGCAAAATAATCTTTTCCTTATCTGATTTGATTCTAGTACATAATTGATTAAAATCTCTTTATTATAAAAATTTGAAAAGGTTCAAATGGACCTACAGACAGACAGACATATCAAGATTTATAGCTTTTTGATTAGTAGTTTTTTTTTTTGTTTGTTTTTTTTTAAACTTCGATTTGTAGCTTTTTATTAAGTCAGGAAACACGAAGCATAATTTGCTTAAAATTCTCTTTGGTCATTGAAGGCCAAAAAGAGGACATAAAAAGTCAAACATATGAGGGATTTTTTTCCCTCCTTAAGTTAAATTTTAAAGCTGTATTTAAGGAATCAAATCTTACAAAATCCTGGAAGATTTTGATAATGATGTTGATAATTTCAGGGAAGTTAATCAAGTACCTATTGATTTAAAAGTATATTATATTCAGTAGTTTTGATATCTTGCCAGGGTAGATACTAGCCCAGCCTAGCAGAAAAGTGCAATATGTACAGCATACTTTAACATTTTAAAAGTTATTTTAATTCTGTAACCGTTTTGAAATGCTGGGCAAACTTTGGGGAAAAAAAAAAGATCCTTCATGAAGTTACTTGCAATTGATTCACAGTTAATTGGGCATTTTTAAAAGTTAGTTAGATAAAGCACCATAATATGGTTGAAATTTGGTAAAATTTTAATGTTAACTTTTACTCTACTGTGAAAATTTTTTATAAGACATACACATCCTAGTTTATTTTTGTGTTATAGTGTGGATTTACAGATTTACTACAGGTATCCTGAGCCAGGAACACAATCAGGTTTCAGACCAGTTTGATACTGGCTGTTATTCTTAATTCTGATATGAGTGTAGGAGTTCAGGCTAAATGTTATATCAGTGGGACTGTGCTGTCTGTGCAACTTAATAAAATCATTTTCTTCAGACTTGAAGGAGAGTAATAAATAAGATTTGAAGTCATAGGATGTTTATGTTCAATTTAAGGATTAATTTTTTTCTATAAATTAATTGTGAAAGATGAATTATTAAATGTTGACTTCCTAGTAAAAAAACTGCAAGAATAAAAGTAAGTTCTCCAGCCATATTGACTAGTGTCTTGAATTATCTTTTTGGATCTGCCTTATGTTGTTTTCTGAGGGTCCTTCCTTTAGATACATATTAAAATAAAACTTATTAATAGTTTGGCAAGAAGCCCTGGTGGCACAGTGGTTAAGCACTCAGCTACGAATCAAAAGTTTAGCAGTTTGAACCCACCAGCCACTCTGTAGGAGGAAGATAATAGTAGTCTGTTGCTATAAAGATTACAGCCTTGGAAATCCTCTGAGGCAGTACTGCTCTGTCCTGTAGGGTCACTATGAGTCAGAATCGACTCTCTGCAATGGAGGAGGTTATGACAGGATAAGAAATTTTTTTAAAGAAAAGCTCTCCTCAGGTCTGAAGGAATTAGGTTGGGCTTGAGTTGGAAGGGCAAAGTCATCATATATCACAATCATTGACTTAACACTAATTTTTCCTTTCAGCTTACCTATAATCTTTTAAAGTTTTTGTTATTTTTAAAATTAGTACATATGCCTGGTAGTTTTCTTCCCAATTTCTTATTGTGGAAAATTTAAAACATATATATGAGTAGATAAAATAGTGCAATGAAACTCGATGTACTCTTATCAGTCAGCATCACCAATTATCAGTTCATGGCAAATTTCTTCATCTAACCTTCTACTAATTTTCCCTACTTACATATTATTTTAAAGTAAATCCTAGATATTATTTCATCCATAAATATTTCAGTACATTGCCCTAAAAGGATAATGGCTTTAAAAAAAATGTAAAAGCTTTATTGTATGTAAAAAAAGAATTAGTAAAAATAATTTGCTAATATCAAATATTCAGTGTTCAAATTTCAGTTGTTACATAAATAATAAAAAAAAATTGTTAAATAGTTGCAGGGTCTAAATAATGGCCATCCATTGCAATTCATTGATACATCATTTAAATCTTTTTTAATTCATGGACTTTTCCGCCATCTCATTTTTCAAATTCCCCTTGTAATTTATTCTGGAAAAAACGGATTTGCTTGTCTACTAGGAGTTTCCCACCATCTAGATTTTGCTGATTGTATCCATTAAATAGCATTTAACGTGTTCATTTCTCTGTATTTTCTGTAAATTAGTAATTGAATCGAGAGACTTGATCAGATTTAGGTTTGTTTGATTTTATTTTTGGCAGACTACTGTATTAAATGGTGGTGTAGTCTTTCATGAGGAGGCATATACTGTCTGGTTGTCTCTTTCTGTGATAAGCAGCTGGTGATGATATGTATTGTTTGTAAAAATCAAATATTACCTACCATAAGGCTGCACTGTCCAGTATGATAGCCATTAGCTACATGTGGCTATTGAACACTTGAAATGTGGATAGTCTGAATTGATGTGCTGTAAATGTAAAAATACACATTGGACTTCAAATACTTAGTACAAAAAGAATGTAAAATATCTCATTAATTTGTTTATATTGATTACATGTTTTAAATGATAATATTTTGGATACATGGGATTAAATAAAACAAAATTAATTTCACTTGGTTTTGTTTGTTTTTTATTTTCTTAAATGTAAAAATATTTAACATCACTTGTGTGGCTTGCCATTATACAAGCATACCTCGTTGTATGGTGCTTCACTTTATTGTGCTTTGCAGATACTGCTTTTTCACAAATTAAAGTTTCATGGCAACTCTGCATGGAGCACATCTGTTGGCGCCATTTATCCAGTAGCATGTGCTCACTTCATTTCTCTCTATCCTGTTCTCGTAATTCTCAAAGTATTTCAAAAGTTTTTAATGCTATGCATACTTAATAAACTACAGTACTGTGTAAACATAACTTTTATGTGCACTGGAAAACCAAATAATGTGTGACTTGCTTTGTTATGACACTCATTTTACTGTGGCAGTCTAGAACTGAACCTGCAATATCTCCGAGGTATGCCTGTAATTCTGTTGGACAGCACTGCTGTAAGGCATCATAAGGAAAACATTCCCCTCATCTCTCATTCTTGCTTTCCTGAGGCAATCATTTTCAACTTTTAGTTATTTTTCTGCTGTTTTCTTCCATATTCCAAATAACAAGCTTATAATTGTAGCATTTATTGAGCACCTATGTGCAAGTTCTAAGCTCTCTGCAGTTAAAAAAGTCAGTCATTTTAGAGGTGAGGAAACTCAAGAACAGAAAGGTTTAACTTACCCAAGTCATGAGTCAATTAAGTGGCAGAGCTAGAATTAGATTCTCATTAAAACCTGGACATAGGCTCCAGGGCCCGTGCTTTCAACACTTAACCATATTTTTCCTTTGCTTATGCTCCCATTTCTTTTTTATCTTTTTTATTATAAATATTCTCTATTAACTTACTGTTATGGGAGATGAAAATTTTGCTTTCTCAAACACCTCACCTATGTTACCCGCAACCCAGACCTACACTGGGATGTGCATTTTCATTGTCCTCCCAGTTTAGTTGTACAAGTTTTTTAGATTTGTATTCAATATTTACATAGTAGATGTTGTTGTGTGCTCTCGAGTCAGACCCGACTCATAGCGACCCCTCGTTGGATTTCCTAGGCTGTACCTCTATGGAAGTAGATTGCCCAACCTTCCTTCCAAGGAATGGCTGGTGGGTGTGAACCGCCAGCCTTCTGGTTAGCAGTCAAGTGCCTTAGGCACTATACTACCAGAGCTCCTATATTAGATAGATATTATATTACATAGTATACTGTGATTACATTTCTTACAGAATAATTTTGTTTTTCTGGAAGTAGTAATTACCTTGGTAATAATTTGCCATTTACTTTGTAGCTTAATATTTCGCCCAGAATCATGGTCATTATTCACTTATTGCCCCAAATGACTCATTCTCAGGAAGTCATTTTTCCTGGAATCCTTCATCATCCAGTTTGGACCAGCTTCTCCCTAGGTCAAACAGCACAGCTGTCAGTGTAGAATTGATCATACTGGAACTTCGTTTTTGCTTGTGGTGTTATTCAAAATATAGGGAATTTACATGTTTTTCTTTGCTTGTTTATGCCTTTCTTTTGATGGAGTACATCTTGTAATGGGAGCTCTGGTGGTACACTACATCTTGTATATTTTTTCTTGAGGATAAAGTGCACTGGAAGTAAATTTGAGATTTGCATATCATGAGAATTTTGCTGTCACTTGAGCTAAATACAGAATTAAATATAGAACTAAATATAGAATTGACTAAATATAGAATTTACATTACTCCATTGCATCCTAATTTTCACTGTTGGGTATTAAAAAATCCAAAGAAGGTCTCGTGGTACAATAGTTAATAGCATTCAGCTGCCAACGAAAAGTTTGGCAGTTCAAACCCACCAGCCTCCCTGCAGGAGAAAGATGAAGCAGTCTGCTTCTATGAAGATTGACAGCCTTGGAAACCCTATGGGGCAGTTCTACTTCGCCTTATAATGTCGTTATGAGTTAAAATCAACTTGATGGCAGTAGGTGGGTATTGAGGAATCCAATGCCATTTTGGTTCTCATTTCTTTGTATGAAATCTATAATTTTTAAACTTGAGGACTTTAAGATCTTTTTATTTATTGTATTCTGTAATTTCACTGTGATGTACTTTGGTATTGGGCTTTATTCATTCTTTGTGCTGAGAACTTGACCTTTTCAATATGAAAATACATACCCTTCTGTTCCAGGGTATTTTCTTATGTAATTTTTTGATACTTCCTTTCTTCCATTTTCTCTGTTCTTTCCTTTTAGGATCCTTTATAGAATGTTGAATTTACTGGTGTAACCCTCCACTTTATTTCCTATCTTTCACTGAGTTTCTGAGAGAATTTCCTCAGTTTTCTCTTGCAACCCTTGAGTTATTTCTGCTATTTCCAGTTTCCAATAGTTCTTATCTCTGCAAGTTCCTTTTTCTTTTTTGATAGTATAGTGAGATCTCGTTCTAAAGACATTGACATTAGATTTGTTTCAGTTTTCTTTGCTATCTATATTAACACCTTTTCCTTGAAGTTCCTTTTTTCTGTCTGGTTTGGTCATAGTCCTCCAAGTCATAATCTTGCCTTAATTGTGTCAGGATCCTTCATGTTTGAGAAGCACAGAGAAAGCTAATTAGAGGATGTTTGTGCCTAATGAGTAGGACTTTTCAATTGGAGGACTTCACTGTAGAGTAAGGGAGCAACCGGACTTTTCATCAGCCATCCCTTCTACCTCCAATCATTTTCTTAAATGTTTTTCTTTGGGGTGGTCAGTTGCTCCAGAGAGGTGTCTTCTGGATTCCTGTCTAGGATATGAACTAGGCTGTCAGAGCTCTTAGTAAGCAGAGGGACTCCTTATCTCAGTATTCAGAGATAAGGATTAATTTTGCTGTTTTCAGTAAGGGGTCTCACTGCATTCCTGCCCTCAATGTTTAGTTGGAAGTTTTACCTTCCTTCTTTGTACATTAATGCTAAATTAATGCAAACAGCAACCCAAAATATCAACTACTTACAAACAGTTACCAGGGTAGGGATTCATACAGTAATGATAGCAACAGCATAATTTTTTGATACATATCATATCCAATTTAATCTTCAAAATAGTACTATGAGGTAGGAACTATTATCCCCACTTGGATACACATATTCTACAAGTATAATACTTTATTAAAATTCATCTCCTTTTCCTTTTCCCTTCTTGTCCTTACTCCTGGAGAAACTTGTACCACTTAAAAGTGGTGGTGATAAAATTACATTTTTTCCATTAGTAAATAGCTATCCTCTTAGAAGTAGTTTTCTCTCTGGTGGGAGAAGCATTCAGTTTTTTGACTTTAATAAAACAATATTTTTCAAAGATTAGCTGCTGATCCTATTTTTATCCAGTATTTCTATGGCATATACATGATAACAAAAGGGTGTTTTATCAGAAAGTCCAAGAGACTTCACTGAGATTACAAGGCAGATAAGAAAGATGATGTGAATGAAGGAAACCTGATATATTTCAAGTAATTCAGAACTCTTGAGTTTGTCCTATTGCCACTTTCTCTGGGACAAAAGAACTCACTACCATCAAGTC